ATCATGTCTATGTCACTTAATGTGCTCATATATTAAAATTAGTGTTAATGCGTTTCTCGTAAAAAATTGGCAAGGTGACTGCTACTGAGAATCTATCAGGAAAAGCTGTTTTTGTAGATATAAAAATAAATCAGAATGGTTTTATAAAAATAAATCAGAATGGTTTCTATCTTCAAAACAGTAAAGTTACACTTTAGCTGAGCTAGCTAATAATAACTTAATTCACAATGAATGTCGATTCTTGGGAAAGTCTTCGCGCACACGGACACAGTTCATACAAAGCAATTTCCAACTATCTTTGCTGCTACATATTTTAGCCATTCTTGCTCCAACGACACTCTACCCTTTCGGTTTGCCACAAGTCGTATCTTTAACTCTTATTTTGCCACAACGGTTACCCATATTTTTAGTGGAATTTTTTAACTTTTATGATTATACTAATCGTAAATAACGGCTTAAAATAAAATGTATAAACGCAAAATGTTTCTCATTATTTAACTTTAGTAGGTTTTAGTAAAGGTCAAGTGACAGCAAACACCGTAATTTATCTCGGCGTTCAGAAAAACGTACTTTTTATTTATTTTTTTTATTTTTTTTTATTTTTGTGGATTGAAATAACCAATCAGAATTGTGAGTTCAATACCTGGCTAAGCTAGTGGGGAACTTAGAGAGGGGGGATTAACACGAGATAACTAATAACTGACATCCATTAGACATTGGCACGTGGAACCAGAACAGTTTACTCCAGCGAGCGAAATAATGGGTTCAGTTGGACATTCCAACCACCTGAAGAAGGCCGGAGCGTACATCGGCCGAAACGTTGTGATAAATATGGCAACAAAGATGAGGACAACAGTCCGAATAATGTAAATATTGTACAGAATTGTTATACTATATTTTAATAAGCATATGCGATCATAGCTCTTCACAAATTCCTTTCTTTTAATATAAGGTGAGGCAAAAGGAACACCGTTTTTTTTTTTTATTTATTAATAAATTTTATTGAACAAAAATAAATTACAGTAGCTTAAGATGGCTTATGCTTTCGGGAATTGTTAAATCTTAATTTCGGATGATATGACGACGCCGATCAATTCAGTGTTCATCGCGATCACCAGACCTAACAACACAAGAGATTTTTTTTGTTTGTTTGCTATACTGAAAGATCATTTTTACAGGCTCAAGCTGAAAACAATTCCACAATTAAAACAAACAATTTCTGATACATTTTCTGAAATGAATGTAGAAATAAGCCGAATGGCTTGTAGAAGTGTGGCTGATAGGGTTCAGCGTTGTATTGAACAAGAAGGGGATCATCTTTGAAGATGCTAAATAGTTTGTTAATCATGACAAATCCTGTTGCTTTGATGTGACAATACTTATAAATTTTCTAAAACTACTCGAATTTATTGTTATTTAATAAAATTTAATATATAAAAGGAGGCATCTTTTATATGTGAATACTCATGAGAAGGGAAAATAGATTTCCTGTTTTGAAATTCAGCGTTTTCCCTCTCTTAGACTGGCTGTCTTAGAAGGCTTTAGAGCTAATATAAGATGATAGAATTCATAGCCGTCAGTAAAAGGATAAGCCCGAAATGTGATTTGCCGGTTGGGGACACTAAAATCAAACAGGTGCGGAAGTTTAAATATCTGGGAAGTGTTTTGACAGAGAGATCCGTAATAGGATGGACAAGGACGTATTTCAAAAGCTAGGCATAGTATTGCGAGACAGGAGGATCTTATTGGTAACAAAGCAAAGAGCACTGAGCTATTATGTAACATCTGTCCTCCTTTACGACAGAGAATGACGCAGGGTCTCCTAAAAGATGAAGAAGAATCTTGAGGCAACGGATGTATGGTTCTACAGAAGGATGCTGAGGATATTATGGACCGTGTGAGCAACGCGCAGGTCTTGAAGAGGATGCAGACATATATTTAACATCAGGAAGAGGCAGCTGGGACACGTAATGAGAAAGGAGGACTTGGAGAATCTGATACTCATAGGTCGAATAGAGGGAAAGTGAAACAAGGGAAAGCAACGCATGACATACCTGGGAGGAAGTGGAGAGCCATGATCGCCTACATCCTGAAAGGACACGCCACATAAAAAGAAAGATGAAAGAGCAAGAGAATTAGTGTGAATAGAAAGCAACAGAGGTAACCAGAATTTGAACTTTGCTCATCGATTCCACTTTAGGTCACGAAAACCGTTAATCTTCTCTCGGATCTGACATATTACACCTTATAGTACTACTCACTATTCTCAATTACTATTCAATAGTACTAAATAGTACTACTAAAGCACTATTCAATATCCTTAGTGCCTCCCGAGTAAGACGATAAACTACATCCGCGTCCTGGGTAAGACCTAAACTGCGTCCAAACAGCCCGCCCTGGGTAAGACGATAAACTACGTCCGATAGTGTTGTGGTAGGATCCACCTAATTTGCATAGTGGAGTACCGACCATATAAATATGGTTGGTACCGGGAAAACGAGAGGGGAATCAAGAGATTCAATCCAGAGACTCTGCCCGACTGCAACAATGGCGACGAGGATGAGATCATTGTTGAAACTTGACTAATGCATGGAATAATAATACAACACAAAATGTACTTAGAACAAAATGTATTGAAACAAGAAAGTGTACACAATATTTACATATAGTCTTTTGTATATTCTTGGGAAGACCGTTCCTGGAGAATGTGTTGACTGAGTCGCAGTCGGGCAGAGTCTCTGGATTGAATCTCTTGATTCCCCTCTCCTCTTCCCGGTACCAACCATATTTATATGGTCGGTACTCCACTATGCAAATTAGGTGGATCCTACCACAACAGATAGCAAGGACTCTGGTCAGGAGGTATTGAGGAGCATGGAACCACCTCTAAATTGCTGGTATTCCCAGATCCGCCCTGACCCGGGATGGTAACACCTGTTAGGATCCCAGCTATAGGCATGAAAGTGTAAAAATAGGTTTTAGTACCAGCAATACTTTTTTGTACAAAATTATTAACTGCAATGAATTTTTGAAGGAAAAAATATTACCAGCAACAGATTTTTGAATAAAAATATTACCAGCAATAAGAAAAAACCCGAAAGACTTGTCGGCATTGAATAACCCATTAGGTTTATATGACGTTAAACAAAACAAACTAAATCAAACCCATATCCATATTCGCATCATACTTTATATTCTAAATTCAACAAATTTTCCTGAATTTAAAATTATCGTTTCTATTTTGGTTGCTCCTGATTTAATCATTACAGAAATTCAATCTCCTTGTAATTATTATAATCAGTTATATTTACAATAAAGTAAATATGATTTTAGTCATTATTCATAATAGAAACTTACGTTTTCTTAATTTCTATAAATATGCATATTGCAAGAAACAATTAGTCACTGCATTCATTGTTATCTAATTGTCAATAAGATAAATTGTTAAATTAATTAGAACATTAGCAAAATGGTATTGTACATACCGGAACATCTAGTTGTTTTTATTTGATTTAATTATAATACTTACAACACTAATCGTATTCGACTAGATCAGTGGTACCCAAATGGTGCGGGGTACCTCATAGGTGCAGTGGAAGAGGATCGCAGGTGAGGCGGAATGATTGAAAGACAATCAAAGATTCAGAAACAGTTTCGAAAAATTCATATGCCGAAAATAAATATGATTTCAAAATTGAAAATATTATTATGTATTACTTGTAATTACATGCATAAATCCCAGTATAAATAGATATAAATAATTATTGACTGATTTTATCATTGTGATATTTTTATATCATATCAAGTATTAAGAATATAGTAACAACGTTCTGCAAATTGGAGGAGAGAGTTATCAATAATAATCTTCTGACTTCGAATCTACGATTATCTCCCTTTAAACATCTCTCTTGTTTTACATTTTTTTTTATTAAAATCTATATTTTATCACATAATGTTTGGTGAGGCGCGTGTAAATTTTCATTCCGAAAATGAGGTCCAGAGAAAAAAGTTTGGGAACCATTGCCCTAGACTAATGAAATTATGGGTCTCCTTTCAGATATGCCGGCACCCGTCTTCAATATTTTTTTATTCGTGACGACGTTTACATCAGTTGAAGTAAACTTATTACAAATTCTTTAAATAAACTAGAATACCTATTTTTTGTTTGTCAATAAAAATATTCTTTAAGATGTACCAGTATTTTATTATTTATTGCAAAGCAATATGTCTTATAACCGTCATATAGCAATAAAACAAACAAAATATTTTTTGTTCAGTTGATATGATTTCAGTTAATAAAACTATTTAGAAATTATAACATCCAGAAAATAAAAATCACTGCTTTATAAAAATTTCCAAGATTTAAAAATTCATACGCTCAAAATAAATATGATTTCAAAATTTAAAATATTATTATGGATTACATGTAATTGTATGCATGAGTCTCAGTATAAATAGTTACAAATAATTACTGAACGATTTTATCATTGTGATATTTTGCATTTCATTAAGTATTAAGAATATAGTAACTAGGTTCTGCAATTTAGAGACAGTCATCAATGATAATGTTTTGACTTTGAATCCACGGTTATCTCCCTTTAAAACTCTCTCTGTTTTCTATTTTTTATTAAAATCTATATTTTATCACATAATATTTGGTGAGGCGCGAACAAATTTTCATTCCGAAAATGAGGTCCAGAGAAAAAGAGATAAACACTACTGCACTAGAGAATACATATTTGTTTACAGAAAATTAAAGTTGTTGCAGTATTTAATATAAGAAATTGTAATATTAAATTCATCAGCCTCATATTTCATTTTTTGTATTTTTATGAAATATTTTAACTTGATCATTAATTCGGTATTTATATTTTGATCAGGTTTAGAAAGAAACACTCACGATGTCCATTGATATTTACAACATTATTTTTATGATTTTTCTTAATGCTGCTGCTGCTGCTGCCGTTTTATGTGATCTTATTTGAATTCACTCGGATCATATGACTTCTGCAAGTCGGACTCGATATCAGTGAACTGAAATGAAAATAAATGAGAAGCAAAGTAAAAACAATGAAATAGATAAAAGCATATTCGAATGGCAAAAGAGCAACCCGGGGCCAAGACAGACAGGATTGGATGGGATATCTGTCCTGCTGAACTAATCCATAAAGAGAAGAACTTATGCTATAATATAGGAGACTATATTATTATTTCTGAAAATAGCTCAACAAAATTGCACAATTACAAACGCAGTGTTCCATCCTTATCTTTAATCACCCTCCCTCTTTCTCTCAGATATATATATATATATATATATATATATATATATATATATATATATATATAGTTTGTTCATTATCTATCTCATTATAGTGCAGAAGTGAACGCGGTGATCTCTTTATTCACTAATATTGAGATCGCTTATTTCGTAGATTTGTTAAACAATATCTATCTATCTATCTATCTATCTATCTATCTATCTCTTCCCATTCTGTTCGTATCTATCTATCTATCTATCTATCTATCTATCTATCTATCTATCTATTCCTATCGTGTCATATCTGTTCCAGTTTGTACATTAGTCACTTTTGAAAATTTCATATTTTAAAGTACCCACAAAAGTACTGATGTTCAATTAATTAACGTAATCCAAGTACTGACTTGAAAGAATTGAGAAAAATTCTACGGCTCTTGATGTTTCAAAATAGTTTTTTTTTCACCTTTGAACTTACAACAGCTATTAAAAATGTTCTTAAATATATTGCTATCCCAGAATCATTGAAGGAGTGGGATGCTAAAATATTATCGACCTGACCTAGTATCTCTACTAAAAATAAAGCTGGTATTTGGTCATTTTGGTCAGATTTTTGGAAAGTGAGAACTTTTTTAGCAAACAGTACAAATATATCTAATATCTGTATAATTTTCATATGAACATACACACAAATATGCGCAACCAAAAATAACTACATACACATATACTTGTGCGAGTATGAGACTGTGAAAATGAGACTGTGCGAGAATGAGACTGTGCGAGAATGAGATTGTGTGAGAATAAGAGTGTATCAGAACGAGACTGCGAGAATGAGACACTTTCGGAAAGAGACTGTCCGAGAATGAGACTGTGCGAAAATGAGGCTATGCGAGAATGAGACAGTGTGAGAATGCGATTTGTGAGAATGAGTGTGCGAGAATGAGACTATCCGAGAATGAGACTCTGCGTGAATGAGACTGTGCGAGAATGAGACCGTGCGAGAATGAGATTTGTGAGATTGAGATTGTGCGAAAATGAGACTGTGCAAGAATGAGACTGTGCGAGAATGAGGCTGTGCGAGAATGAGACTGTGCGAGAATGATGCTATGCGAGAATGAGACTGTGCGAGAATGAGATTTGTGAGAATGAGACTGTGCGAGAATGATACTGTCCGAGAATGAGATGGTGCGAGAATGAGACTGTCCGTGAATAAGATTGTGCGAGAATGAGGCTGTGCGAGAATGAGACTCTGTCGGAATGAGACTCTGTCAGAATGAGACTGTGCGAGAATGTGGCTGTGCGAGAATGAGACTGTGCGAGAATGAGAATTTGTGAGAATGTGACTATGCGAGAATGATAAGATGCAATCGGACGGGCAGGAATATACAAATAAAAGGCAAAATTTTACATAGCATTTGTCAATTGGTTGACATACAACATAATATAGGGTTGAGTCTTTCATTATTAACTCATATAGTTGGGTTGATAGGCAATATTAAAAAAGTTTATAATGTGATCTTCATCACTAGAATTGCAATAATACACCTTCGGTTTCACTCCATTAATCACAGACAAATACTCAGGCAGTTAAAACTTTTAATTGCTATACAGTAATTTATGGCATAGTTCCATCATAGAACTATTTAATGAATTTATAAGAATATTTGTTGTGTTTTGTACCTCTATTTTGTATGTAATTGAATAACGTGTTTGCAGTAAATTTTGTTTTGTCGGTATTTGTATCGGATTCGCTTTATATGCATAGAGCGATGGATAAATTGTCGCCATGTTATATTTTTAAATTCCCGCATGTGCGTCGTTTGTTTTTCATTTTGTCGACTGCACAGTATTATAGAGTCAGTTGAACAACGTCTGTGAGAAAAAACAGCACCATGACCCAATTGACTCAGCCACAACTTTGGATATGACAGGCTGTATTGTACCGCACCGGAAGCTCCAATACAAACTTGTCAGTTTGTTTGGGTGTTAATCTGAGAACAGTGCAGAGGATTTGGAAAGAGTTGGATGAGTCTAATGGTGATTACGAAGGTGTTTGGAGTGATCACTAGTGATGGCGACGTTATGCCTCCATTCATCTTCCCACAGGACCTCAGATTCAACACAGAGGCCTACATCAAGTGCATTGAGGAGGTAGAGCGGCCTTTGGTCAAGATAGTAGCTGCTGGAAGACCCTATGTCTGGAAACAAGACTCTGCACCATTCCGCAAAAGCAGGAAAACACACTCATGGCTGTCAGACAATTTCTGCGACCACATCACACCTTACATCTGGCCACCGAATTTGCAGACTGCATACCCCTTGATGATTATGTGTGGGACGTAGTTGACCGAGAAACCAACAAAAGTCCTTGTAAAATCAAAGATGAATTGAATGCAGGGATTATAGCAGCATTCGTCACCTTATACAAGGAGACCGTCCAGAAGTGATGCAGGAGATTCCGAGGCGACTGCAGGCCGTGTTGAAAGCCAATAGCGATTATATTGAACAAATTTGCTCTTTAGTATATCAAGACATGTTTGTGTAATTTTGGTAAAAAAAAAAAAAAAAAAATCTGTTAAAATGAGATGTCAGTGTTATTTTTAATTTTTGCGTTATATAGACGACAATTTATCCATCGCACATTGAATATTTGATCTATAATGTTCAATTCTTGTCGATATTGATACAGCTGTAGTAAAAACGCGCTTAGAAATTAACATGAAAACAACGCCCACTTTCTCCTTAAGATTTAAGAATCCTTTTAATTATGGGTAACCCTCATTAAAGTGTAAACATATACACACGAAATTCGATATTTACAAACGTACGCGTGCACAGATGCCAATACATGTGTATGTATGTTTGTATATTTATGCAGGTTGGTGCGTGTGTATAATTTGTACGCGTACATGCGTATATGAAAGCAATGGGAGAGATACATTTATCTTTCCCCTACATGTAGACATTAGTGTGCCTATATATGTATGCGATGTGAGTGCATTTTACATATAATCTACATAAGTGGAGATGACGAGACAAAGTGGAAAAACATTTAAACGGTGTGTCGCGCCGACGTGATGTGTGTTCGGTCCGGCTTCATATTTTATCAGGGTTCTTTTGAGGTTTCAACCTGACCGAAAATGATTTATATTTCAACACCCGTAGAATCTTATAAAATGCTGAACAGATATTACACGTACTTCTTATATAAAAGAAAATGTGTAAGCAATAAATGGTAAATTTATAAACAATTTAATGTGTACGTATATATATATATATATATATATATATATATATATATATATATATATATATACACGCACACATATATGATATATACACACATATATATATACGCATAAAAGGAGTATCTATATATATATATATATATATATATATATATATATATATATATATGCAAAACCAGATGATATATCTATATACATCTAAATGGGTATATATATATATATATATATATATATATATATATATATATATATATATATAAAAGGAAGAGGTTATAGTAGTTCCAACGAGAGAAAAGCGTGTATATTAAAAAGAAGAGAGAAGCCGCAAACGTTTTTTGGTTGTAATGTGGATTTAAAAAAAAATGTATGTTTTATTTTCCATTAGTAGTAGGGGCCAAAAGTTGCCCGGGATGTAACAGTAAGAGATAGATCAAGTATCGACCATCATAAAGACTGAAAAATAAAATTGACAAAGATTATTGTTTAAGGTTGACGGACACGCATGTCTTAATTAGTTTTTTTTGGGGGGAGGGGGGTTACGAATTGGTCAAATCCAAACTCAAACAAAAACATTGTTTTCAATCGTTATGAGTCTACAGATTGAATAGAATTATTATTATAAACAATTGTCTTGTAAATGGAATTTTTAAAGCATTCTGAATGTAAAAATAAAGAAAAAAGTGTGCAAGACAATAAGAAACACTACCTGCCAAAAAAAAGTGAAGTTTTGTTGAAATCGGTTGAAAAATGTAGGAAATCCGATCCCATATATAAACGAACACACACACACACACACACAAACAACCTGGGTTTTATGATAAGTATAACTCGATATGAGTTGTCCCCCTTTCATTCTGGCGACAGAATCGTGTTTTATCGTGTTTTCAAATTGATTTCATGCAAAAACAATTGTGTTTTTCCAATTTTTGGCGCTGTCAGAACCACCGCAACATAATTTTACTCAGTTCTGTGAAGTTTTGTTGAAATCGGTTGAAAAATGGAGGAAATCCGATCCAATATATAAACGTACACACACACACACACACACACACACACACACACACACACACACACACACACATAATCTGCGTTTTATAATAAGTAAGATAATGGAAATTTATGTATATTTTTCCATTATGGAAAATAAAAGATAATTTTTTTAAAATTCACATTACAACCAAAAACGTTTATGGCTTCTCTCTTCGTTTTTTATATATATATATATATATATATATATATAGAGAGAGAGAGAGAGAGAGAGAAGGGGGGAGAGAGAGAAATAGAGAGATAGAGAGATATACACGTATAAATGAGTATATCTATATCTATAAAACAGATGTCTGACGATGTGTCTGTCGATGGGTGTGTACGCTATATATGCACGTCCCCATTTCTCGACTGATTACGATGAAATTGAACACAGATGTTGCAAATTTACCAAGTAGGTCAAGACCAACTTTTCAATATCCAGGCCCCACGGGTCTGACAAAAAAATCGA